GAGTTTCTAAAGCTTTTCACAAAGATGTAAATCTTTATGTCGAGAGGCCTTTGTTCCAGTGTATTCCCCAAACACTCCAGTGCACTTTCTTTGAGTATTCACTGCCTTGTTTAGTTTCCAGAAGGCTGGTACACTCTTTATAGTACCCAAACACCTCTTGAAACACCAGTACTCTGGTCAAATGACTCTTAAGGTCGCTACTGGAAGTTTCTAACCACACCAGACCAGGGACCTCTGCACTCTTCAGAGCTAACTCCCTGTTTGACTGGGTAGGGAAATTCTTTCTTTCTCTAGAAGATCTATCCCCTTTCCTTGGCCCGAGTAGGAGTCTTCATCTACTTCCCAAACTTCCTTGCCAACTCTCCCCCAGTTCTCCATCTATGTTAAACTGCTCTCAGCTGAGACTGAAATCCAAAACTGTCAGTACTCAGCTCTTCTCAGCATCTGGTTCAGAAATCTTTCTCTGCTGATGCTAAGCAATCAAATCTTTTGGAACAGCTTGTCACTCAAGGCTCTCTAGCTCTGTGAAGAATTAATCCTTCACAGACCTTTATCTGTTTACACAGCACTTCTAAGCTTTTAAAAGTGCAGTCCATCACATGCCCCACCCTTTGAGTTCATTGCTTCAGAGGAGGTTCTCACAAGTCTCTCTTGGGCAATGGGTGAAGTCCATATTACTTTTTGTTTACTTTAATACCAAAAGTTAAACTTTATATACCATTATATATACACATAAAACATTCAAAATGCTTTCAACATCCTGTTTTAACAATCTCCAACCTTAGGTGGTTCTGGAGAATACATCTGCATTGATATTTTCCTTTCCTTTCATGTGCATTGCATCAAAGTTGTAATCCTGTAACTGAAGACTCCATTTTATCAGATGATTGTTTGTACTCTTCACCTGGTTGAACCAGTGCAACAGTGAATGTTCAGTGCACAAAATGGGGCTGAGAGAACTGCTCTTGAGAGAACAGCTCTGAGAGAACTGTGACTAACCCAAGGTCATCCAGCTGGCTGCATGTGGAGGAGTGGGGAATCAAACCCGGTTCTCCCAGATAAGAAGAAGGATTTGGATTTATACCCTGCCTTTCACTACCCAAAGGGGTTTCAGAGTGGTTTACAATCTCCTTCCCTTCCTCTCCCCACAACAGACACCCTGTGAGGTAGTTGGGGCTGAGAGAGCTCTCTCGAGAACTGCCCTTGAAAGAACAGCTCTGAGAGAACTTATGACTGACCCAAGGTCACACCAGCAGCTGCATGTGGAGGAGTGGGGAAATCAAACCAGGTTCTCCCAGATTACTGGGAGAAGATGCTGACCTCACTATCCCATCTCCTTGCCTTCTTGCTGCCCCCTGCAGGGTCTTCTTCTCCCCATCTTTGCACACCAGACATTGCCTTTTCCAACACCCCTTTCTCAAGGTCTGGTGTACAAAGTCCACAAAATTCATCTTCTTATGTTGCCAACCTGGATCTGACAACCTTACCCCGAGTCTCCTGCCAGTGGCCAGGGAGGACTTGGCAAGCCTGCATCACACAGAAGGAGGCTCACTTTTTCCATTACCCACTCACAAGTGAACACTGACTCCAGCTTCTGTGTGTCACTAGCCCAGGGCAGAAGCCCTCCGACCTGCAAGACCTCAAGGTCCCCGGCACTCCATACCACGCAGGGTGATCCAAGCCACTGATCGAACCACGGATCGAAGATTCTATACGGTTGCCAGGTCCCCCCTGGCTACCAGCAGGGGATGGGGGCACAGGGTAGCCAGATCCAGGTTGGGAACTCCTGGAGATGTGGGGGCGGAGCCCGGGGAGGACGGGGACCTCAGAGGGGCACGATGCCACAGAGTCCCCCCTTCCAAAGCATTCATTTTCTCCAGGGAAACTGATCTCTTATTGCCTGGAGATGAGCTGTCAGTCCAGGGGATCCCCAGGTCCCACCTGGAGGCTGGCATCCCTACATAATGCACCTCTTTGCACCCCGCATTCCGCCACCCTCCCAAAATCCTGGAGTCCCAGACAATGCTCCCTCTAAGCTGTGGAGTCTTGTGAGCAAAAATTCTATTCTGTGAGCTGCTGGCATCAAAGTTGTGAGGGAGTGATTGGGCTGCTGCATCAATTAGTTTCCTCTGGACTGGAAGAAGAAGAAGAAGAAGAAGAAGAAGAAGAAGAAGAAGAATCAGCTTACAAGCTCCTTTCCCTTCCCCTCCCCACAACAGACACCCTGTGGGGTAGGTGGGGCTGCGAGAGCTCTTGACAGAAACTGCTCTTTTTCAAGGACAGCTCTTATCAGAGCTACGGCTTGCCCAAGGTCATCCAGCCAGGTGCAAGTGGAGGAGTGGGGGAATCAAACCCAGTTCTCCCAGATTAGAGTCCACGCACTTGACCACGACACCAAACTGGCTCTCTCACTACATCGAACTGGCCCTCTCCAAACTGGAGCCCTCCTTCCTGAGCTCAGACAAAAGCGTGTGAGCCGGAGGCTAAAAAACTGTGAGCCAGCTCACACTAGCTCGGCTTAGAGGGAACCCTGGTCCCAAGAATGAGATTTCCCTGGGCTCTTCCCCTTTTCCTCCTCTGTTTTGTACAGTCTGCACAACTCAGCGAACGACACACTCCTTCTCCCCGCAGCGAGAAACCATCAGCCTGCCCCCTCTGTGATTATGGACAGACTTCTGCAATCTCGTCAGACCTGACAGGCGGCTATTTTTCCTACAAGCTGCGTCCAGACAACAGGAGCAGCCCTGAGAATGGCTCTCTCTCCCTCTTCTGGGAATTCGAGAGGAGGGAACCTCGCCTTCCGCAGGGATCCGACGAGCACTCTCGCCTCTCCCGGACTGCAGAGCCACAGTTTCTTCCCAGAAGGTGAGTCTAGAAAATCTATGGCTGGCGAGAGGCCAGCCTCTTGGCAGAATCTGGTTTCTGAGGCTGCTCCATGATCTGTCGAGACCCATGTTGAGGCCTGGGACTGGTAGCGGCGTGCAGAGAGGTTTGCTGCTGGAAATGCCACTGTCTGACGGGGGTGACCTTCCGCATGCACCATACAGATCATTCCACCGAATTGTGGGCACCCCTCGGTGCCAGGCGGTGGCTGCAGGACCAACCGGACCCTGCCCTTGAGATCTCTGACTGGGTCTCCCAATGAGTTTCCTGACTGGTGCTGTTTTCCCAGTTGGACCCTCCAGTCTGCACCCGGTGTTCCCTCTAAGCTGAGTCGGTGTGAGCCAGCTCACAGTTTTTCAGCCTCCGGCTCACACATTTTTGTCTTCGCTCAGGAAGGTGGGCTCCAGAGCAAATGAATTTCTGCAGCAGCCAAATCGCTGGCTCGCGGCTTTAACGCCAGGAGCTCACAAAGTAGAATTTTTGCTCACGAGACTCCACAGCTTAGAGGGAGCGTTGGCTCTGCGCTCCTTGAGGTCCAATTGGATCTCAGTAGAGATGGAAGACTTGTGTCCAATTGGGGGGGGGGGCAGGATTGAATCTTGGTGGGAACTGGCTCTGATACCGAAAATGGTACATGGAGGAATTTGAGGACCCCACCAGCCCCGCATGTGAATCCCTCCCTTTACGGATGCTTCTTGAGAAAAGAATGCTTTGGAAGAGTCGTTTCAAGATCTCCAGCGCAGCGTGGCCCCAAACGTCTATGCTTATTGGGGAGATGATTGTAAGCCCTTTGGGGCAGGGACCTCTCTTTTTTGTTGATAGTTTCAGGTGTGGAGCTGATATTGGTCAGCAGTGTTCCCTCTAAGCTGAGTTAGTGCGAGCCAGCTCACCGTCTTTTAAGCCTCCAGCTCACACATTTCTGTCTTAGCTCAGGGAGGAGGGCTCCAGAGCAAAACTGATTTATGCAGCAGACAAATCGCTCGCTCACAACTTTAATGCCAGTAGCTCACAAAGTAGAATTTTTGCTCACAAGATTCCACAGCTTAGAGGGAACATTGTTGGTCAGTAGTAGAAGAGCCAAGATTTGACTCCAGCAGCCCCTAAAAGACCAACAAGATTTTCCGGGGCATGAGCGTTTGAGAGTCAGTGTCTCTAGGGGACCTGACGACGGGAACTTTGACTCTTGAGAGCTTATACCCTGGAAATCCCGTTGGTCTTGAAGGTGTGGCTGGACCCCAAATCTTGTCCTTTTTTGCCGATGGCTCAAACTCCCAGCTAGGATGGAACACCTCAAATTTACCTCTTTGCCCATCCCCCCCATCAGTGTTCCCTCTAAGCTGAGTTAGTGTGAGCTAGCTCACAGACTTTTAGCCTCCGGCTCACACCAGGGTGATGTCTCTACTTTTTATTATGCTGTCAAGGTTTGCCATCACTTTCCTCCCAAGGAGCAGGCGTCTTTTAATTTCATGGCTGCTGTCACAGTCTGCGGTGATCTGGGATCCCAGGAACGTGAAGTCTGTCACTGCTTCCACGACTTCCCCTTCTATTTGCCAAGGAGTGATGGAGCCGGATGCCATGATCTTAGTTTTTTTGATGTTGAGTGTGAGCTAGCTCACAGATTTTTAGCCTCTGGCTCACACACTTTTGTCTTAGCTCGGAAGGAAGGGCTCCGGAGCAAACTAACTTATGCAGTAGCCAAATCACTTCCTCGCAACTTTAATGCCGGTAGCTCACCGAGTAGAATATTTGCTCACAAGGCTCCACATCTTAGAGGGAGCATTGCCCCCAATTCTGTTTTCAGTCCGCCCTTTCTCCAAAGATTTCAGGACATCAGGCGTGGCTGAATCCCCCTCACTCCCATATTTATTTATTTTAAGACGTCCATGCTTCCTTTCGGCCCCCAAGACAACATGCAAGGCAGTTTACAATGCATTCTACTCACATGTGGAATTTTTAAAAACATATATATATTAAACAAAGAGAAAATGCAACGGCAGAAGCAAAACTGAACCCCGGATTTGGCCGAGAAAGAGGGGGACTGGCCAAGCATCAGCCGGTGAGCTTCACGGGTGGGTCGGCATTTGAACCCAGGACTCAGCACCCAGCCCCAGCCTTACCTCTCTCCACACACAGGAGGACGGCTATCAAGGCTGCGAGAGTTCCCTTCATGGTTGAGCGGAGATCCTTGTTGGACAATCCAAGCAGGGGGGTTCTTCTTCTCCTTCTGAGGAATCTGTCAGCTGCTTGCCTGATGTCTTTAAGGGCTGACTAAGCAGCAGAGGACGGGCCAGGAGGAGGTGTGGACTGGGAGAGGGGGAAGGGCCCTCCCGCCACTCCCTGGAATCCTGCCCCAGCCACAAGGAAGGATGCTGATGCTAGGACTCCAAAGGGCCCTGGCTTCCTTTGGGCTGTTTTTGCTCCGAGGAGGGTCTTTCTCCCAGGATTCAGCTGTGAGCTCCAAGCAACACAGCGTCTGAACAGAAGGCACAAAGAATGACTCTTTCTCTCTCCCTTTTTGGCCTGAGTTTTGCTTTCATTCACTGCTCGAGAGGCTCCTGGTTGGGAAAGGCAGCCGTACAGAAGGGGCTGAGACTGGGCAAGAGCGCCGGAACGGGAATGGGGCCGGGGAGGGGCCGTCGCCCGTGACTTGGAAGCAGATGGTCCCAGAGTGAAAAGGATCCTAGCTGGCAAGGGCTGCCTGGGAGGCACCCAAAGAGACCGAGGGGCTGATTCAATAGAAGGCAGCTTACTGGTATTGTCCAACATTTGTATCCTGGCTTCCTTCCCTTTCACAAGGGCCACCAAGGCAGCTATTGATTTAAGACATACACAATAAAAGTGCATTTTAAAGCCATTCAAATCAGCCCTCCTCCCAAACACACATCATCGAAGCAATTACAGCAGGCAGAGTTTAGAAACAGAGTTCAAAGTCATACGAAACAGATTTAAAATTCATACAAAACATAAAAACGTTGGTTAGGGAGGAGGGATTATGGAAGAAATGGGAAACGAAACCCAAAAAAAAGGTGGAAGTTGGCAGCAGAAGGGGACAGAAAAAACTCCCTGGGGAAAGCGTTCCAGAGCTTTGGTGTCACGACCGAGAAGGCTCTGTCAGGAGTCTCCTTTATGAACATCTAACCAAACAAGGAGAGTACACATAAGTCTGCCTTATACTGAATCAAAATGCTGCCCTTCCAGTGATTTTGACAGACTGATGGACCATTGGTCCATGAAGGTCGGTATTGTCCACTCAGGTCGACAGCCGCTCTCCATGGTCTCTGGCAGGGGTCTTTCATATCATGTACCTCCTGGATCTTTTTAAACTGGAGATGCCGGGGATTGAACCTGGGACCTTCTGCATGCCAAGCAGAGGCTCTGCCACTGAGCCATGGCCCCTTTTTTACAGCTCTCCAGGGTCTCAGGCGGAGGTCTTTCCCATCACCTCCTGACTTGGTCCTTTTTAAGTGGAGATGCCGGGGATTGAACCTGGGACCTTCTGCATGCCAAGCAGATGCTCTGCCACTGAGCCACGGCCCCTCTTTACAGCTCTCCAGGGTCTCAGGTGGAGGTCTTTCCCATCACCTCCTGCTTGGTCCTTTTTAAGTGGAGATGCCGGGGATTGAACCTGGGACCTTCTGCATGCCAAGGAGAGGCTCTGCCACTGAACCGCAGCCCCTCCCGATAAAACTGAGGACCAGTGAACATATGAAGCCGCCTTATACCGAAGTAGGCCATCAGTCTGTCAAAATCACTGGAAGGGCACCGTTTTGGATTTGCCATTTGTGGCACCCCAAGTGTCTCAAAGGCATCCATGGCACAGCTGCCGACCAACCGGAGGGCTTGACTAGTTTTCAGTGCCAGAGTTTAGCCGGGAAATCATGAAGAGCCTTCTGCTCTTCTGCATCTGGGTTCTGGGACACGGCTTGTTTTACGCATGCACGCGAAACCCAACGATATTTATATATTTATTTCAACATTTGTATCCTGGCTTCCTTCCCTTTTACAAGGGCCACCAAGGCAGCTAAAGATTTAGGACATACACGATAAAAGTGCATTTTAAAGCCATTCAAATCAGCCCTCCTCCCAAACACACATCATCGAAGCAATTACAGCAGGCAGAGTTTAGAAACAGAGTTCAAAGTCATACGAAACAGATTTAAAATTCATACAAAACATAAAAACGTTGGTTAGGGAGGAGGGATTATGGAAGAAATGGGAAACGAAACCCAAAAAAAAGGTGGAAGTTGGCAGCAGAAGGGGACAGAAAAAACTCCCTGGGGAAAGCGTTCCAGAGCTTTGGTGTCACGACCGAGAAGGCTCTGTCAGGAGTCTCCTTTATGAACATCTAACCAAACAAGGAGAGTACACATAAGTCTGCCTTATACTGAATCAAAATGCTGCCCTTCCAGTGATTTTGACAGACTGATGGACCATTGGTCCATGAAGGTCGGTATTGTCCACTCAGGTCGACAGCCGCTCTCCATGGTCTCTGGCAGGGGTCTTTCATATCATGTACCTCCTGGATCTTTTTAAACTGGAGATGCTGGGGATTGAACCTGGGACCTTCTGCACAGGGGTCGTTTCGTAGAAAAAGAGCTAGGGGAACTCATTAGCATAACTCATTAGCATATGCCACACCCCCTGACATCACCGGAAGTGTGTCATAAGGCCACACACCCTGACATCACCGGAAGTGTGTCATAAGGCCACACACCCCGCCCCCAACGGTCCCGGCCGCCACCGTCGGCCTTGCAGCTCCCATGAGGGGCCCG